GGAGACGTAGGTCCAGTTGTAGCGCTTGACGATGTCGAGCATGGCCCTGGCTTGCAGCGTGTCGGAGGGGACCACCCTGAGGAAGTATTTGTACAGCGTTTTGTCGCTCAGGTCGATGCTGGTGGCGGAGTAAGCGATCTGGGGGATGTCGAAGAGCTGGAGCAGGTTTTGGACTTGGATAGCAACCGAGCTGGAGCCGGGGCCGATGACCCCCGCGATGGGCTTTTTCACTCTGGTCGGGGGCTGGGGCTGGGAGTCGGAAACGCAGCGGGCGCCCCCGTCCCTGTCGTCCCTGATGGAGATGAGGGAGTCCCGTATGAACTCGATGCTCTGCTCCAGGGCCACCGAGGAATGCCAGCAGGAGTCCCGGATCTCGCTGCCCAGGGTGATGTTCGGTAGCAGGACCGGGTCGGCGTTAATTTTATCCAAAGTGTGAAACATGGCTTCGACCCTCTGGATGCCGTACTGCTCCCGGATTTCCCCGCACTTCCTCTCGGGCACTTTCTCAGCCGGCGGCTGGTGATGGACGGAGAAGAGGGCCCCGATGATGACATCCCCGTCCATCCGAGCCACCGACCGCTGCGAGGAGGCTGCGGAGAGAAGAGCCTTCCGCCCGGCGCTGCCCGGCAGCACGTCCATCTCCAGGAGCAGAGCAGGGAAAAAGACCAGCAGCACGCCAATCATCTTGTGGCACGATGTCATCCAGACCCAGGTCGCCAATTTCATGGGCTCCTCTCGCCTGCACATGGTTTAAGGACATGTAGGAAATGGCACCCGCTTCCCCCCGCCGGCGCCCACGTTGCTCCGAATACCATCACAGCGAAGTCTTACAGCATCGCTCTCGAAGGTGCCAGGGCAGCCGTCATCCTAGTGACTTTTAACCTGCTGGCACAGAAATGGGGGGTGAAACACGCTGGTCGGGAAATCGGTGTCACACCGGAGCTCGGTAAAGCGACCCCGCACAGCTCGAGGTGCCTGCTTTCCCAGACGCCCAGGTCGCTTTGCCTCGGTTAAAGGCTCTCGGAAGGGAGTTTCAAGAGGGGTTAAAACGTGACTTTATTTGCCTTGACGTACGATCACGCGTACTCACGTGTGTTAAGCCCGTACGATCCTTCCCGTGTCCGCTTTTCAAGGCGAGGCGGCTGTTCCCCGGACCTTCAGCCGGCACACACACCCCCCCACACCCCTCCGCCCCCGGGAAGTTTGGGAAGTTTCAGGAGGTAGGTAGCTCGTGGGACCGGCGGCCCAGCCCGGCCCCGGCGGCCCCAGCCCGACCCGGGTGCCAAGCGCTTCCCTTCCCGCCCTCTGGCTGCCCGGAGGCATCTTCCTCACCTCGGGAATTGCCCTTCCCAGCACAGAACGGGGCGCGAAGAGAGAGCGAGCAGCCTGCCCCGCCAGCGAGGGGAAATGTCATTTAAAGGTCAGCGAAGGGACGAAGAAAGGAACCACTTTGCAGCTTAGATTAACTTTTCCGTGTGTAGGGGGCAAAACTGTCATTCAGCCAGGGACACACATATGCAAGCGGGGGAAAATACATGTGAGTTACTAAGGCAACCGCGGGCAAAGTCCTGATGTGCCTTTACCGGCACGCCTGCCTTGCGTGCGGGCTTCGGGCGGGGAGAGGCGGCCGGCCCGGCGGCCGGGCTGGGGGCCTT